TGCATCCATGAAATAAGAACATAAAGCTAGTAAAAATTTTCAGACTAAAAATAAATATTAGTTACCAAAACATGACAATGGCAACTTAACATTTAATAGAAGAGTTAAAAGAGAAATAAACCTAGAAAATGGAATTCCTCCCCAAAATGATAAATGAATTCAAAGAAAAGGAAAATGGTAAAAAAAAAAAAAAAAAAAAATTGTAGAGATAAAAGGATGTTTCAGTTATTTAACATTGTATGACAGGCCACCTCCAAATTTAGTGGATTAAAACAAATTACTTCTCACAATTCTTGGGTTGATTGGGCTCAGCTTAGCATGTCTTCTGCTCTTCTGTTTAGGGCAATCACAAAGTTACATTCACCTGGGAAGTCAGTTAGGGGCTCATAGTTCAAGATGTCTTCTCACCCTCCAAGGCCTCTTTCCATACAGTCTCTCATTACTCAGTGATCGACTCCAAGCTTCTTTATAGAAAAAAAGGAAGTAGAAGTGTCCAATCCCCTTACAGCCTGGGCTTTGAATCCCATATCACTTCTTTCACTTTCTATTGGTTCAAGCAAGTCACAAGACCAGCTCAGATTCAAGGGAAGGGAAAATGAACTTCACTTGCCAATGTGAGCAGCAGCTTGTGCATACAAATTTGGGAGGTACTGTTGGCCACTATTTTTAGGGTCAGTCTTCCACACCACACAAAATCACTTTGGGATGTTCAAAATCCCTAAAATCGGAGTTTGAGGAAAAAATAACAGAAAGAATAGGGGAAGGTGGGAAATTAGAAAATAATTTTTTTTTAGTAATTATCAGAGCTAAAGGACACGAATTTCCAGATTGAGAAGACCCATCAATGTGCTCCAACAGCAAAGCGAATAATCAAAAGGACCCATACCAATAAATACTGTCATGAAATGTTAGAACCCTGGCCATAAGCAGATCCTAAAAGCTTCTAAAGAAGAGGGGGAAATGGTTTGAGTGCAGCCTTATAACACCAAGGTCACAGTTTCAGATCCCCTTACCTGCCAGCTGCCAAAAAAATTTGTCTCAGGCCATTGTCCTTCGGGCTCATTCATTTCCCCCGAAAATCATTTACTTCTACACCTGCCCCCATCTCCCCTTCCTGAAGAAGGGTATGTAAGCATCTGTACCCCACTGGGTTACTGAGTAATCATTCTCCTGTGATTTTCCCCTGTTCATTAAGTACATTTTGTATGCCTTTTTTTCCTATTAATCTGCCTTTTGTCAGTTCATTTTCAGCAAACCTTCAGTGGCAGATAGCTTTCTGTCCATCCCTACAAGACCAATTGTCCAGAAAAGAGCGAATTAGCATTAAAAAATAAGATCTTTCTAAACATTTAGTAATCACTACATTGTGTTTGCTACAGTAGAAATTCAAAGATGAATTTTCCTCCGAAAAAGCTACTGACACACCATAGCCTATGGATATCGAAGACTTCCTTCTTGCCAGCTAATCTCATCCCACTACCCACCTCCACTTCTGAGCCCCAGATCAGCTTACTTACCCCTTTCTTTCTAATTCTGTGCACCCTGTATTTTTAGGATTATGTAATTTATCAATGTTTACAAAACACTTGATAATTACAATCAATGTTATTTTAACAAAGATTGGCACTAACTAAAATTAGATGAGAAATAAAAGTCAATCCAATTTTGAGACCAATGAAGAAAAAAAAGATGTCCTAGAAAAATAAATTTTTTCCGAACGAAAATCGAAATAAAACCTTATGTTAATTTCAGGTTCTACTAGATGATTATCCATTTTACGTAACCAAAGAACAGGTATCTTAGGTAATAGGTGAATATATTCAAGTTCTTTCCTCTAAGAACTTAAAATAAAAACTTTAAATCTTACATATTTCCCCCCCAAAATACTATCTATTCAATGAGAACATGAGATGAATGATGCAAACAAAACTTTTTTAAAGCATAATTCCTTAATTTTAAAGAAAATGATAAACATGGGTTGCGAATCTGGGGCATGTGCTGCCAACCACACTCCAAGCAACATTTTTTTATGTGGCTTCAAAAGAAAACCTATTGGTGGGCATACAGTTATAAATTAAAATTTAATGTCATAATGAATACAAGTCAGTCTAATTTGATCTGAAATATAATTAGTCATTAAAAATTAACATATGTTGATATCTGCACCTTAAAGAACACTGTTTAAATTTTTTTTGACTTCTTCTAATTGATTAAAATGGCTCTTAGATTTTTTCTTATTTCAGCATTTTTCATGAGTTCTAGAATATTTACTTCAAAGTTTCCATTTTTAAAATGGTAATAAAGCATTTCCTTTTAAAAAAAAAAAAACACCTCACAGATAATATTAAATTTACTGTAAGATGGTATTGAATGGATTCATTCAGAATTCATTCACAAAACATGAGAACTTATTCATTAAAAAATAATCCATTGTGGATTAAAGTAATTTAAAATTATAAACTCCCTTAATATTTGTAAATGAAACTTACCTTCTGTTAGGAACTATGCATTTTATAGGCCATTAAAATCTCAATAAAGTCAATAATGATAACCTAAAAAGTAGTGCTACATTTGCAAATGAAACTTCAGAGCAGTGACTTCTGAAAACAAATGTTAGTACCAATAAGATGAAGAAAAGCCTAACTCAGAACTCAGAATGAGAAAGATAAAAACTTCTGAATTTCAAAAAAAAACAGCTAACTTAAACCATCCTTGTATTTTGGCGTAGGGCTCTGATTAAAATACTGTCAGTTGATCAGGGTACAGTATTGCTATTCATCAATCATGCTGATTTAATTTCTTGTCTTTCACATGTCCTTCTTTGAAGACATTGGCAACTTTCTTGGCTTTGCTTTTTCAAGTCAGGAAAGCTTATTTATTTTTGAAGGAGCCTATTTGTTTTTAAAGTTAAAGTTTCCAACAGAGAAAACTAATGCTTTCAGTGGTTAGAGTACACTGTTGTGGCCCACACAAATGACTATTTCATATGTAGATTTCGTTCATGTTCCTGGATGGGGACAAAAACAATATTCTGTTTCCATTGGTTTGAGATTCACATGAAAGAGTTACTTTTTTTTTTTTAACTAATATTAAATAGTCTGAATGATAAAATGTTTATGATTTGCAGATTGAGAGAAATAATATTTGCCATCACTGATTGTTTTTGAAAGTGAATTACTATTAAAATTTAACTTGATCCTCATACAATTTACTGTCTTCTAAACTCTATTTGATGGAAACATATTTTATGATTTCCTTTAATGTGTAACTTTAAAATCCCATCTCTCTAAAAAATCTTACAAATTCACTATAATTATGATATTGTAAAATAATTTTGAAGATAGTGAAAGCTAGAAATTATAACCATAGCCTGAAAATTGATAATTTTTCTTTTACAAACACCACATACACTTTTAATAATGTCAAGATATTAAAACTATTTTTGCATGTTATTAGAAAGAAGCACAAATGTTTGGAAATGCATATTCACTAACTTTCAACACAAATTCTAAGAAACAGTATATCTACTGGATACGAGAACTGATAAAAATTAGATAATTTAAATGTCCACTGACTGGCAAATGGACAGATTTTGGTATTCATACAACATTATTTAGTAATAAAAATCAATGAATTGTGGCTTCATTCATCTGAATGGATGAATTTTGAAGTTTCTGAGCAAAAAAAATAGGTCATAAAATAAAAAAATACATAATGATTCCATTTATATAAAATTCAAAACAGTCACAACTACCCAATGTGAAACTATGAAAAACGTAATGATTAACAGAAAATTTAGGACAGTGGTTACCTCTGGGAAAGAAGTGAATGTAATCGAAGAAAAACCACAGCAAGCACCAAAGGTATGAGAAATATTTTGAAGTGAGGTGGTAAGTACTTAGGTACTTGTTTTATTATTTATCCTTAAACTGTGCATATATTTTACACACTCTGGAGAAAACGAGAGGTAAGAAAGTGGAGACCATATGTGTAGGCAACTCTGTGAAGACCTTTACCTTGATTGGAGCATAAGGAAGAGTAGATTGGAAAAAGTGTGGATATTCAGAGAGATTTTGCCCTTATGCTTTCTAAGATATGAAAAGAGAGCATCAAATGCCGTAGGAAGAAAGGCTCCATTAGAGGGGTGAAGTCCAAGAAACAGAAGAGATAACTGATGAAGCAAGTTACTTGAGTAGGCTCAAGGGAACAGGATCCAAGCCACCCCTAAGAGACTGGCCTTTGAAAAGAGTGAAACTACCAGATTCAAAGGGAAGGAGAGAACAGGGTGTGATAGTTTTACACAACTAATGATGGGATGCTGAGGGATGTCACATACGGTAACTTCTTCCTACTGGAATGCGGCAGGGTTATTAACTGAGAGTGAAGGGCCAGGGTTGGTTTTAGGAAAAAGTAGAGACTTAAAATAACTGTTTGGGACAATGAGAACAAACTGATCACCAATAAATGCAGGTGAACTCTTGAGCAGTTCAGCTTCTCTGTCTAGAATGTTCTCCTCCATTTTCACCTAGAAAATCTTCCCATACTTCTAGACTCACCTCAGGTTCTGTCCTCTGTGAAATCTTTTCTGACTATTCCATGGTGATCCTTTTCTTTGAAATCTCACAGCACTTGGCTGTATCACTCATTTTACACTTATGCACACACTATTTTGCAATAACTCATGTTGTATATGATTTAAGTATGTGTAGTCTCATTAACTACAGTTCTTGAGGGCGGAAATCACGTTTTTGTTTTTTTTAACTGTCCCTCCCACTTTCTGAAAAATAGTGCATTCTCATGCACAATGAACATTTAGATGCATTTTCTAAACATGTCATCTACTGAAACAAATACCCTTAAAAGTAAATGATAAAAAAAACCCAGACATACATGAATAGGTGTAGAACTTTGAATCTTCCATTATTTTCTTATAATTATTCTTGGTTTTCAAATTTTGGTTTTAGAACATACCTTTTAGAAGCTAAGCCAGAGACCTGATGTTAACATAAAATCGGTTTAATTTTTACATTTTTTTCAAACAAATCCCTCCTGTTCATTAAACCATTAAAATGCTTTCATCATTATCACTTTTAATATATTTCTTCATGGAGGTAGTTCCCCCACAAAATGAAGTAGAATGTTATCAGTAAAACCCAATTGTTAAGAATGCCATCTTGTGGTTGACAGTGGTCCATAACACTAATAGGTCCTTTCAGTGACAATCTTTAATTCGGAAATAAAACATCCATTAAATTCACAAACGTAAGTCACGGTCAAAATGTATTGTTACTACAAAGGAATATAAATACATGTGTACTGGTTGTATGTGGTTTCATCTGCCAAAAAAGACAATGGTCATTGAAAAAGAGACAATAGACAAATTATATAGGAATGGACTTCAAATACAAGGAAAACTGCTGTCTATAACTGTAAATATACTTCTATTAAGACTATTCAAATACTCTTAATTTCAGAAAACTTTCCTCTTGAAGTAGGTAATTTTACCTCTATATACACTAAGTAGTTCTGTTGACTGTTACATCCTGGATTTAAATTATGTCTTGATTTTCTAACTTCATCACCCTAACTAACAAACATTCAAAGGGGAGTGAAGGACAGAACACTTATTTGGACAGTGTGGGATGCACATCATTGATTGTAGTCCGAAATGGAGTTTGAGAAGGGTTAAAAACACTGGCTCTAATCTTAATTGATAAACTTACTACTTCCTCCATACAACTTAGCTATTTTGAGTTTAAATTAACTTTCTAGTCAATATAGAACTAGTAAATACTTACAGATGTAGTATATAAAAACTGTGCTTAAATATTTTAACTGCCAAATTAAATACCAGACATTCTGGTCTACTTAAAAATGGTGGTAAGGGAGTGGAAACTAACATATCCCTTATGAGCACAAAGCAAAGCATGCTAGCACAAGGGTCCATGCACTATGCTACCTTTTGCCACGTCTACTTTAAAATCTAAGGAGGTACAATGCAGGTACAGTGTTCACTCTTAGAAAATAAGCTATTGAAATTTCAGAAGATAAAAAACACAGAGACATTTACATAAAAAACAAAATGCTATTATACTTCAAATCAACTTTTGAGATTATTGCATGCTTATCACCAGAAAAAAAAAATATTTTACTCAGAAAACTTTCATATGAATTGATTTTGGATTAATTTCTCCACATGACTCTTCAGGACATTCACATCGGCTGCACAGACTTCGTACTCCATCTTCTCTTGCTGTTTTGTCCTCTCTAATAAAGCCTCATGTGGTGGGGGTAATGCATTGTATGAACCCAGTAAATAAACTTGACTTGATGACGTTTCATTGATTTCTTTAATCTTTAAAGCCTGCATGATAGCAGGTGCAAACTTTGAGTAATGAGCTGTAGATGAGACAATCACTGGGCAAGTTTTGTCTTGCATTCTGTCTGCAACTACTTTTGCAACAGCAGTGTGTGGATCCAAAATATACCCCGAAGTATTGTAGGTAGAGTTAATAGCTGCTAAGCACTCTCCCTCAGAGCACCAGTCAGCTATGAATTCCTGCTGAAGTTTCTCAACTAGAATCTTTTCTATCTGGAAGTGATGCTGATTTTCTAATTGATTAAATAATTTTGTCATTAACTGTCCATCTTTATTGGCTATCAAGTGTAAATGTCGTTCCAGGTTTGAAGATTTGAGAATATCTATTGATGGTGAAAAGGTTTGTGCTAATTTCCTTTCCCTTAGATCATAATGTCCTGTTTTTATAAAATCAGTCAAAACATGGTTCTCATTAGAGGCACAGATAAATTTTCGAATAGGGATTCCCATCATTTTGGCATACACTGCTGCTAATATGTTACCAAAGTTTCCTGTAGGAATACAGACATCTACGGGGCTTCCAAAAGAAATAAATCCTTGGCTGACAAGATCAAGATATGCAGAAGCATGATAAACGATCTGGGGAAGCAGTCGGCCCCAGTTTATGGAATTAGCTGAACTTAAGATTGTCCCATATTCCATGGTAAGAAAGCCAGTAAAATCAGAATCTTTAAAAATATTTTTCATAGCTGTCTGGCAAAAATCAAAATCTGACTTGACACCTACTGCCCAGCCATTTTCTCTCTGACTGCCAATTATTTGTGCTTTTTGAAAATCACTTACTCCGTTCTCAGGAAAAAATGTAACCACAGCTATTCTTTGTTTGTCATTCTCATTAAGACGACTAAAACCATTTAAGACTGCACTCCCTGTGTCTCCTGAAGTCCGTTCTCAGGAAAAAATGTAACCACAGCTATTCTTTGTTTGTCATTCTCATTAAGACGACTAAAACCATTTAAGACTGCACTCCCTGTGTCTCCTGAAGTAGCTACAAGTATCATATAATTGCAGTTTGGTGGAATACAGTGTGCAAAAAGATGAGGCATAAGCTGCAAAGATAAATCTTTAAATGATCCTGTTGGTCCATGAAACAACTCCAAGATGAACTGGTTGCCTGAAAGGTGCCTGACAGGGGCAATTTTTGAGCAGGTGAAGTTTTCCCCATAAGCAGTTTCAATCATTTCTCCCAATCTGGCAGCAGGTATGTCCGCAGGATGTATGCACCTTTCCAATAGTATTTGCGCTCTTTCTATATAGGTTGCTCCTACTAGGCTTTTCCACTCCCTACAGCTTACTTTTGGGAACTCCTTCTCGGGAACAAAGAGTCCACCATCAGAAGCTAACCCCTCAATCACAGCTTCGCTAAAAAATTTTGTTGAATCCTTCTGTTCACAGTCTTTATGCCACGTATGTCTTGTTGAAACAAATGTTTCTGAGTCTTCATCTTGGTATCTTTTAACTGCATTCAGCACTTTGTCAGCTACCTCCTCTGGGGAAGCCCCACTTTCACAAAAAACACGAGCATCATACCACTTCTTATAATACTGTCTTCTAAACTGAAGTAAGTCTTTCATAGATGTTGCAGAATTCTGACCTACAATCCTATCTATCTTCATTAATTTTAAACGACCAATTATGTCTATTAGAGGTACATCCAGGTATACAATTATTCCATTTTTCTTCAGATGCCACATGCTAGCATTGTGCATTGGATTGGACCCAGTAAGGGAAATCACACTTCCAGATGCAGAGAAGTTTAACACAGCTTTTCCTTCCTCTTCTAAAAATTGCTCATTACCAACATCCTGTAATTTTTCAGACACGCTCATATTCCAGGTTTTTTCAAGGATATCATCATCCACATCTATGACACAACAACCAAGTTTCTGACCTATTATTCTGCCTACTGTTGTTTTCCCAGCACCAGGAGGTCCCATCAGGATAATATTTTTGTCTCCAACAAGAGAGTGGGTTGAATACCATGACTTCCTTAATTCTGCAAATGCAAAGATTCTTGAAAGAAACAGCTGTGCACGTTTATCTGTTTTAACACGTATAATAGAAAAACACTTCTGTGTTATCTGTTTCAGATGCTGACATCGGTTCAAGTGGAGCATTCTCTTTCACTTTTCTGCCCAAGCCAATGTAAAAATATGGCTTTAGCCCTTATTAAAACACAAAAACAAAAAAGACATTTAGTTACTAATTCTAAGTGTTGAAATCCCAATAGGACTGAATATAACCATGCGCACAGTACATAAACTGTTTAAAAATCTTTCAAATTTATGGATGATTTAAAGAAAAGTGCTCCAACCCAAATTCTCATGTATTGCATATTATTTTTTAACAATATCTTTTCAAATCTCAAGACAATGAAAAATCAGAACTTTAAAAATTTGTAACGACAAACAACAGAAACTTTATTCAAAAAATGCCATACCATAAATGCTTTTTTAAAAAAAAATACTAAATCAAATTAGCATTTCTTTTCTTTTTATGAAATACTGTAATGAAAACTGCTTCATAGTTTATTGGTTTATAACACATATAAAGATTAGAGTTGGAGTGCTGTTTACTTGCAATTCAATATTCTTTATATTTAATTTCTCTCTAATTATATGAACATGTTGATAGATTATCATGTTACTCATAAATTTCTTAGTTATAGAAGTCACAGCAGGAAATGAGAATAAAAGAACATATTTGCTTATAAAACGCTTAAATAACTTCAAAAGTACAGGACAAAGGTATGGTATTTTCTTTCTTATAGGCCTTTTAGATGCATACTGTTAAAAATCATTCTTACATATAATTCACATCAAAGGCCTTAAAAAGAGCCAAAATGAAAGGTATAATATTATGTAAATTAATATCAGCAATAAGGTCAAAGGCTACATATTGATAAACTTATCTGCATGGTACCATCGCTTTTGTTTCTGGTGCTATAAACATCACCAGTGGAAAGACTCCAAATTCCAGATTCCAGAGTGACAGCCAAGAAACTCAGTAATGTTTCCAATGATGAGAGGAAAAATTTTTTCTGGCATCCAAAGAAGTTCTACAATTCCCCATACTGATCAAGTCCCTGTCTTTGGAAATGTGCTCACCATGAAAACAAAAATGTATGCCAGAGAAATCAAATTCTTAGTCATGTAAAATACAATTTAATAACTGCTGCAATGTTCATTGAAATTGACTCAAGTAATTTTACAGACACATAGTGGGGCTTTTCACATGTTCCCTGGTAGAACAAACATGCAACTAAGCCATATTAAATATTAGATGGTATGTTTAAATGTGTTCTGAAAACTTTCAATCATGTACTACTCTATGTTACTTAAACTCTGTTCTGTAATTAAACACTTTAGCCATTTTAAATTCACTCTGA